TTCCTTCTCTTTACCATCTCAGCAAATAGCATATCACAGTTATTTAGGACCAAAATCTTGGAGTCATCCTTGATTACTCTCTCATACCCTACATCCACTACATCAGCAAATCTTCTTGGCTCTTCTTTCAAGATAGGATCCAAATTTGACCCCTTCTCATCACCTCCACTGCTAGCACCCTGGTCCAAGCCATCATCATCTTTCACCTTGATCATTGCAATACTCGCTCAACCTTCACCTTGCCCCAGTTAAGTCTACATATAGCAGCCAGAGTGGTTCTTGTGATGCTATTACAACAGAAATTGGATTATTTCATCCTACAATGTAATATCATACTACTGTGTCCACTTTTGGTCTAAAAGACCCTGCAGGGTGGCTTTTGCTTACTTAGTATTCTTGACCTGAACTCTGCAGCCTTGAGCATATCAAAGCTAATAATAATTCCTTGTTTTAGTTTGTATTTTAAACTTTGTATTGTTAAGCATCTTTTTATGCTTTTATTTATTTTTTTTGAGTTGGAGTCTCACTCTGTCACCCAGACTGGAGTGCAGTGGCCGCTCCCGGCCACCGCAGCCTCGATCTGCTGGGCTCCGGCGATCCTTCCGGCTCAGTCTTCCAAGTAGCTGGAACTACAGGTGCGCGCTACTACGCCCGGCTCATTTTTGATTTATTGTAGAGATGAGGTCTCGCCAAGTTGCCCAGGCGGGTCTCGAACCTTCGGGCTCAGGCAATCCACTCACCTCAGCCTCCCAAAGGCGCGAGATTACAGGCTGAGCCACCGAGCCCGGCCCTTTTTATGCTTATTGACCATTTCTTATCCCCCATTTTTTTCTATTGACTTGTCTTTTTATCTTTTATACAGATAGAATATTTTCCCCAGTTTGTCCTTTTGGCTTTGATAGATACGCTACTACAGTTTATGACTTTTGTATTGACTCATGTGTTCAAATTTGTCTGTCTTTTCTTTATGGTTTCTGTGTTTTGTTTCATGTTTAGAAGACTTTCTCCTGGTTAATATTATAACAAAATCTACCAAAATGTATTCTAATATTAAATGATTTCATTTACATTGAACTCTTTATTCTATCTGGAATTTATTTTGGTACAAAAAGGTAGGGGTAGAGCTTTATTCCCCCCCCCCAAAAGACAGATGTCCCAAATGACATTTATTGAATAATCCATGTTTTCCCCACTGATTTGAAATGTCACTTTTATTACACGTCAAATTCCCATATGTATTTGGGTCTATATCTCACTTTCTTGTCTGTTTCTTATCTGTGTATTCCTGCACCATCACAACACATACTGTACCTTTATAATACATTTAAAAATCTGTTAGAGTTAGTTCTCCCTCATAACTTTTTGTTCCAGAGTTTTCCTGGATATTCTTCTTTTTTAAAAATAGCTTTATTGAGCTATAACTTGCATATCATATAATCTGCCCCTTTAAAGTGTACAGTTCGATATATTTGAATATATTCACAGACATGAACAATCATGACCATAGTCAATTTTAGAACATTTTCATTTACCTCAAAGAAACTTTGTACATTGCAGCTGTCACCTCCCCTTTCCCCTGATTCCCCAGACCTCAGCAACCCCTAACCTATTCTCTGTCTCTGTAGGCTTGCCTATTCTTGCCATTTCATACAAATGGAATCATATAGTATGTGACCTTTTGTAACTAGTTTATTTCACTAGTGTTTATATTTTATAATATTTTCAAGGTTAATCCTTGTTGTGGCATACATCAGTACTTCCTTACTTTGCATGACCAATAATATTCCATTGTATGGATATACCACATTTTATTTATCCATTCGTCAGTTGATGAACATTTAGATTGTTTCCACCTCTTGGTTATTGTGAATAGTATTGCTATGAACTGTAAGTTTTTGTCTGAATATCTATTTCTAATTTTTGTGGGTGTATGCCTAGGAATAGAATTGCTGGGTCATATGGCAATTTTGTTTCAATTATTGAGAAATCTTCAAACTGTTTTCCACAGAGGTTGCACCATTTTACATTTCTATCAGCAATGTATGAGGTTTCCAGTTTCTCCATATCCTCTTCAAGATTTGTTATTTATGTTGTTTTTTGTTCATTTTAATTTTAGCCATCCTAGTCGTGTAAAGCGGTATCTTATTATGGTTTGATTTGTATTTCTCTGATGACTAAAAATATTGAGAATCTTTTCATGTACTTATTGGCCATTCATATACCTTCTATGGAGAAATGTATATTCTAGTCCTTTGCCCATTTAAAAAATTGGGTCATTTATCTTTTTATTATTGGGTAATAAGAATTCTATAGACTATTTTCTGATTATTCTTGCATGTTCATTTTCTAGGTGAACCTTCTTCATCAAAGGTTGGCTAGCAACCTTTATGTAGCGTAAAAGCAAAAAGCAAATGTTCAGCCTGAATCTAGTCTAACGGATTCTGCAGATAAAATTTTCCCCAAGGCATCTCTGTATTACATGCACTGAGAATACATGGTCACAAGTATTGTAAAGCTGATTAAAACCCCACTTGCGTACATGAAGCGGAAATGAGTTCCAACATATTGCTCTTCTGAAGGCTTGTGTATAGTGTACATGGGGGCTGTTAATTGCTCTCTAGCCTAAAGTACTTTGGTGTAGTGCTGATGGCAGAATTGAGGCTAGAGAAGCCCTTTCAAGATCAGCATCCCCAAGTTGCCCTGAGGTGATTATTGCAGTTTCCTGGGGGCTCTCATCCCCTCCTGGGTTCAGAACGGAACCCAAACTACCCTCACAGCCTGACTCACAGCTGTGGACTAGAGTGACTGCTGGGCTTCATTAGGGAGGAGCGTGGTTTCCCGCATGCTTTAGTCCTTAGGGGGTGTCTGAAAGGGAATCAAGCATTCCTTATGGCAGTTGTTTAATCCTTGGGGCATCTGAAAGAGAAGTCATTGCTTCTTAGATCAATATTTTCAAGGTTCATCTGACGCAAGCTTCTGCCTGGGGCTGGAGGATACACTGTTTCTCCAGCTTCTCTCTCTCCAGGGTGGATATGAAATTAAGTCCTTGTAATAAATTGCTTGTATTTTTTTTCCCTGGGAAATTTGTGTATATGTGTGGTTATGATGGCAGAAGGGGTGTAAAGATTGTTTCAGAGCTGGACACCCTGGGTGCTTGTTCCTTTACAATTGAGTTTCTCAGTTTTTTTTTCCATTATTCCCAGTTCCCCTCCAAGTCTTTTTAGACATTTTCCCCAGTGGTCACCCCTACCCCATACAATTCTAATACCACAGACATATTATATATCTATTTATGTACTGTATGTATGCTATGCTTTGTACATTAAAAAATAAGATATTTTTGCTCCCTCGAGGGGCGATATGGGCCCCACTGAGAACAACACATTCTTTACAATAGTTCACAACTAGCCCCCTTGGCGGCTTCCACCACAGAAAACCGTGAAGGCAGTCTAGCAGGGGCTCTGAGGAATGTGTGAATGAACATGCATAAAGTGCTAGGCAAAGTGTGATTAAAAAAAAAAAGAACCCAGGCTGAGATGAGTGGATTGCCTGAGCTCGCGGGTTTGAGACCCGCCTGGGCAACTTGGCAAGGTCTTATCTCTACAATAAATCAAAAATTAGCTGGGTGTGGTAGTGCGCGCCTGTAGTTCCTGCTACTTGGAAGGCTGAGGCGGAAGGATCGCCGGAGCCCAGCAGGTCGAGGCTGCGGTGGCTGGGAGTGGCCACTGCGCTCCAGTCTGGGCGACAGAATGAGACTCCAACTCAAAAAAAAAAAAAAAAAAAAGAACCCCTGTTGTTGTCATTATTACAATTATTTTAAGCTAGTCACAGTGATGTCTGTAACCCTTACTGAGGCTGCAGATTTCCAGGGTTCTTGAGGGCCGGTCAGACATCTAAGTCAGTGGTCCTCAACCTTTTTGGTGCCAGGGATTGGTCGTTTTGGGTTTCAAACACACTACATTTATTAATCTATTATTATTACATTGTAAGATATAATGAAATAATTGACTATACAACTCACCGTAATGCAGAATCAGTGGGAGCCCTGAGCTTGTTTTCTTGCCACTAGATGGTCCCATCTGGGAGTGATAAGAGACAGTGCTAGCATCATCGCCTCAGTTCCACCTCAGACCATCAGGCATTAGACTCTCATAAGGAGCAGCAACCTAGATCCCTGGCATGTGCAGTTCACAATAGGGTTCCGGCTCCTATGAGACTCTAATGCCGCAGTTGATCTGACAGGGAAATGTCAGGAGCAAATGCCAGCAAGGGGAGTGGCTGTAAAAACAGATGCAACTTTGCTGGCTTACTCTGCTCACCTCCTACTGTGTGGCCAGTTCCCAACAGGCCACAGACAGGTACAGGTCCATGATCTGGGGGTTGGAGACCCCTGGACTAATTCATCCCCAGCCTGGAGCTCTCTGGGGCCACCAGGTACTTAGGGGGTGAATTGGGCTAAATGGGACTGGGCGAGTAGACAGCCCCGGGGGCCTAGTGGTGGCAGAAATTCTGATTTCTCAGGAAAAGCTGGAAATATAGATTTTTGGTCAAGTTTCCTGAATGTTAAGCATTGGCTGAATTTAACAACAATAACGCTATAAGGACCAACCACAGAGACGAAACCAAGACAGACTGACTTGTCCAGAATTGGGATTCCAACGTCTGTCCTCCCAAACTGGTGCTCTTTCCACTTAATCCAGCTCCCACCTTCATCTCACGAACCCTCCCCACCTGCCCTTCTGGTGCAGTCCCTAAGGACCTCCCTCCCAGCCTGTCCCAGGCTGGGGCCATGCGGGATTGGGACGGTGATCCGGGCCCCTGCCCAGTCGCCATCCCCTTCCTGGCAGGACCCGGACGCTGTCAACAGGTGGGGGAGGTCAGGCCTCCAGCCTCACTGAGCAGCGAGGGGAGACAGCCCTGGGGCGGGCGCGCAGGGCCCGGAGGAAGGAGGTGGGTCGGGTGTGAGGAAGGAGGCGTGGGGAGGGCGGGGCCCCGGCCTCGCCCGGCCTCTCCCCGCGCCGACCTCAGGATCCGGAGGCTGAAACAAGCCGTTGTTCGCACCCGCCCTCTGACCTGCCACCCTGGACATTGTTTTCCATTCGCCCGGGGCGCGGGTGGGAGGCGAGGAACGCCGGGGTTTTGGAGCCTGGCTGCGCGCCAGACCCGTGGCCTTCGGCCCTAGGGCTCCCCAGCGGGAGGAGAGAACGCGGGGGTCCCAGACGCTGCTCCGGCCCTCCCGCCTCCAGCGCCGCCATGGGCTCGCGCAGCTCCCACGCCGCGGTCATTCCCGACGTGGACACCATTCGGCGGGAGACCGGCTGTGAGTGCGCCCCGCCCCGCCGGTCGGGGAGGGGGCGCGGGCGGACCCCGGCGTCCGGGGGCTGGGAGGTGGCTCGGCGCCGCGTGGGGGTTCTCCGGGAAGGGACTGGGCTGACGGATGGGCGAACTCTCAAGTCCTGGGGAGACCAAGACGGGGGAGTGTCCGGGGTCACTGGGTTGGGGGCCAGACTGATCCAGTCACCCGGGTATCCTCGAACCCGGATCGACGCTGAAGGCAGAGCTGACCGCCGGTGCAGGATTGCCTTTTGTCTTTGGCTTTCTGGGAGCCGCCCGGGTCTCGAACCTGGCGCTCCACTGTGTGGCGTCACTCCCCCGGCACCCCCGCCATTTCCGCCCCCGGCTCCCGGGATGGTCATCCCCTCCAGCAACGTCTCCCCTAACCCCCAATCCCCAGCGGCCCCGGGGGCTCCGGAGTCGAGCGTCCTGGGAGGCGTCACCTTCTGCCTTCTTTCCGCAGTCTCTCAGGCCAGTCTGCTCCGCCTGCACCACCGGTTCCGCGCCCTGGACAGGGATAAGAAGGGCTATCTGAGGTAGGGAGAGCTGACCCTGGTGACCTCTTGCCTCTGTCTCTCTGGCCCCATTTTCCTCTTTGACCCTCCATCTGCCAACTTTGCTTTACTCCTTTTGAATTTGACTTTGCAGCCGCATGGATCTCCAGCAGATTGGGGCCCTGGCCGTGAATCCTCTGGGGGACTGCATTATAGACAGCTTTTTCCCCAGCAGAAGTCAGCGATTGGATTTCTCAGGCTTTGTCAGAGTTCTGGCTCATTTTCGACCAGTGGAAGAGGAGTCCCCCGGAATCAGAGACCCCAAACAACCTGAACCCCTCAACAGCAGAATGAACAAACTTCGCTGTAAGTTTGTAAGGCTCCCCCCCAAATGAGACCCCATATTTACCCACACCAGGAAGAGGCCTCAGGAGTCTCCCCACTCTCGTGAGCTTGTTGATAGCCTCCCTACTTCCCCAGGGTGACCTTCTGCTGGAAGAGAACCAGGGAAGACCCACCTTCCTTTCCCCTTCCCACTCTCTTCCCAGTTGCTTTTCAGCTCTATGACCTGGATGGAGATGGACTTATCTCCAGGCAAGAGATGCTCCAGGTTGGAAGAATGCAAGGGCAAGAGATGCGATGTGTGAAGGGCAGGATGGTTGGATGGAATGGTGTGGGGGATGGGGTGGGATGATTGGTGGTTGCAGGTGCTTGGGGTATGGGGTGGGAAATGGGAGTGGGTGGGGTTGGAGTGCGCGTTTTGTTGGGAGATGGGGTGGGGAGCCATTGGATATGAGGTTGGAAATAGACCAGTGATTCTCAGCTGGGGGCAGTTTCGCTCCCTGAGTGAACATTTGGCAATATCTGGAGATGCTTTGGTTGTCACACCTGCAGAGAGTGTGCTACTGGCACATAGTGGGTAGAGGTCAGGAATGTCACTATACATCACATGGTACAGAGGGCAGCCTCCCGCAACAAGGTGTTATCTGACCCCGAGTGTCCATAGTGCCAAGATTGTGAAACTTCGGAATAGATGGACTTGGGAGTAGGGGGTGGGGTAGAGAATGGTATGGAAGTTGGATGGAGATTGGGTTGCATGTTGGGATCATGGATTTGGACATGTTGTGGAAGCGAGTGTGGGGTAGTGAGGGATAGACGGGACCCGGGAAGGTCAAGCAGTGGTGGGAGATTATTAGAGGACTTGGTGGGAAGTGATTAGGGTGGGGTGAAAAATGAAGAATCCATCTTTCGATGAACTGTGACATTAGTAATAACTTTTGGGGTGAGGTGGGCAAGGTTTTGGGAGTGGGGGAGTAGCCTTTATGACCCCTCTTTATGGCTGTCTCTTCCCTGGCCTCCCAGGTTCTCCGGCTGATGGTTGGGGTTCAGGTGACAGAAGAACAGCTGGAGAGCATTGCTGACCGCACTGTGCAAGAGGCTGATGAAGATGGGGATGGGGCTGTGTCCTTCCTGGAGTTCACCAAGGTCAGGATACACTTAGGTCAGGATTGGGAGTTGGGATCAGAAGTCCCTGGGACAGATGGACTTGGGAAATGATGCCCAAAGGAGGAAGGCAGAAAGACAGGGATTCTTGGGGGGAATGATAGGGCCTCTGGGCTGAGTAGAACCCTGGGGGAGGTGGTAGGGAGCATAAAGACTGGCATTAAAGCCTCTTGACTAGCACCTGTTTCCCTCAGTCCTTAGAGAAGATGAACATCGAGCAAAAAATGAGCATCCGGATCCTGAAGTGACTTTCTTTGTGCCTTGGCTGGTCATGTAGACCAGCATCTGCGTGGAATTCGTCCTCAATCTCCATGGAGGCAGAGCCCCAATACACTGTATTCTTACTTCTAAACTGAACTCTGTTTAGGGACAAAGAAAGCTGGAAGGGTATGTACTAAAGTCTAGCTCATTTGATCTCAGATCTGTGAATCAGCCAGTAATCTTTTGGTTGCACATGACTGAAAACCCAACTTAACGTGACTTAAGAGAAACGAGCTTATGTAATTAAAAAATCTGTAAGTATCTGCCTTTAGACACAGCTGGCTCCAAGGGCACAAGTATTGTTATCTGGACTCAGTTATTCCCTATTCTCAGCTCAGCTTTCTTCTGCATTAGCTTTATCCTAGGAGGGTTCTTTCCTCATGGTGGAGAATAGGCACTATCAGCTCCAGGCTTCTATTCTGCCAGCTTAGTAACCCAGTGGGAAAACATTTTCTTCCCATAATTCCAAGCAGGGTCGTTGGTCCATCTGGGTCTCATCTCTATCTTTAGGGGAATGGAACACTCTAATTGGCTAAGCTTGTGTCCTGTGCTAATTCCCAGAGCCAGGAATTAAGGTCTAAGGACTAAGAAGTGGTTGAGCAAAGGAAAATGAGGTACAGTGATCAGAAGAAGAGGGGTGTTCATTAGTGTCTGGGTGACCACACAGAAGTCTGGTCTCTTAAATGGGTTTTCACTGATTCCATGAGTGCGTGCCAGTGTGATGGAAGTTGGTGGGGTGGGGGAGAAATGATATAAAATAATAAACAATGCATACTCTTTCCCAGAGAGTGAAATTATTCAAGAGTTGGAGAGCAATCTTGTTTTCATGATCCGATGTTCAAACACTGATCTATCACCAAATAGTGTCAAGTCACATAAAACCATGAGATTCCATGTCCGCAGCAGAGTGTTCTGGCTGTACATGTGGGAGGTGCTGACACTGGCCTCCCCATTTCCCTTCCTTGAGGTGTGCTGGCATTGTCTTGAATCAACACGTGGGAACCAATTGTGCTCATACCTTCTCAACTCTGCTTTCAGTGATACCATGTTGATAGCTTGAAACTAGCTGTTGTAGGAATATTTACACCACAGACATTGGCAAACGCAATGGGTCAATCTTTTTTTTCCTCTAGGAGAGGCTGTTCGGTATTCATCATTACTTACATACCAATGGCTTCTTTCTACAAACACCTGTGAAACTCTGCTCGAGGGCTTTCCTTGGCATAGGCATGTACTGCACCTGTGTGAAGGGCCTGTTGGAAGTGCCAGGGCGTTAATGACCTTGGGATTAGCTCTTAACTAATGACAGATGGATATTGGTGGACAAATACCCAGTTACTTTACCCCTTTGGCGGGACAATTTAGAGACATGTTCTTAATTCTCGTAGAAATTTCCAGAAGACTTGAGCCCAGTTGCCCTCAGTGTTAATTTGCTTGTTAATTAACTTGCTGGCTTCCTGTCCCTCCCGTCTTGCTTGCCCACTTCTCTATTGGTGCTTCCTGGATCACTTCACAAATAAATAACGTACTCTCAAATCTCGGGATGCTTCTGGAAAAACCCAACCTATAAGAGGTACCAGACCTTCTAGAACAGAAGCTCACACTCATCCATGGTTGTAGGTAACTCAGTGGACACTTGGAGGAAGCACTGCGTTGAAGGACTATACAACTCCTGACATTTTCTAATTTTAGGGAGCTTGGGGTCATGTAAAGACTATGCACCTTTGGGGTCCAAGAACCTGGAACTAGCTGAGGTGGTGTTTTAACCACATTTCAACTTTTATGCTTCGATTGTGGTATGATTCTAACAGATTCTCTCATAGTTGAGTGGGTGAGGAGAGCCAATAAGGGGATATTTGAGTCCCTAAGGAATTTTGTGATATTTTTGGTCAGGATTGCCACACGAACAAGGATATTCTGATTGAGGGAGGTTTGTTTAGTCTTTGGCCCCAATTAAAAGAGGAAGGGAACTAAAACTCGCTGAGTAGCCATATTTTTCAGGCACTGTTAGGGAAGATTTATATATATAGAAATAGGGGAACAAGCAGGGAGGAAGGAGAGGGAAGGGAAGAGAGAGGGAGGGAGGGAGAGAAGGAGAGAAGAAAGGAGGGAGAGAGAGAAGGAGAGAGAGTCTTTATAGCTGGTTTTTCTCCCGTTATAGTTTCTCAATTTTCCTGTTTAATTTAGAAGTTCAGGTTGGGTGCAGTGGCTCACATCTGTAATTCCAACACTTTGGGAGGCTGAGGTGAGCGGATTGCTTGAAGTCAGGTGTTTGAGACCAGCCTGAGCAACAAGTAAGATCCTGTCTCTACATCAAAAACTTTAAAAAAAAGTTCAGACCCTTTGGCCCAATTTGGGAGCTCTTGAGTCTCAGGGGAAAATCTCACTCTGTTGCCCAGGCTGGGGTGTAGTGGCACCCTCATGGCCACCACAGCCTCTACCTGCTGGGCTCAGGTAATCCTTCCACCTCAGCCTTCCAAGTAGCTGTAACTACAGGCACACACCACCACACCCAGCTGGTTTTTGATTTATTGTAGAGATTAGGTCTCACCAAGTTGCCCAGCTGGTCTTGTACCCATGGATTCTGGCAATCTTCTCACCTCGGTCTCTCAAAGTGCTGGGATTATAGGCGTGAGCCTGCATGCCCGACTGAAATCTGTATTTTTAATAAGTCATTTTGACGTTAAAGGTTCAAGGACCAAACTCTTAGACACACTGACCTAAAGCTTCCGGCCAGGCTGCTAGTGACCGCTATCTATAAGAAGGTCTCCAACATCCACAAAGCACTGAGCATAAGCCCTGACTCATAGGCGCTCAAGAAAGTTCTCCATAAATTCATGCCCATACCTGCTCTGGGAACTCAGTAATCACTAGTGCTCCTGATAGAATGAGAGTTACTGGAAGCCCTGAGGGATCCCCAAAACTCCACTTGTTGTTCTGGTGGTTGGGGGAGCAGACTTCTCCTACCCTCCCTCAGCATACAAGGCACCTGATCCCACCCAAGCTCAGGATGTTGGAGACTTGTCATGCAGGTGAAGAGCAGGACTCCACCCTCTGCTGTCAAGTCTGACAGATACCTGTGGATCTGAGGGGCCTGACACCAGCAGGGAGCCCCTGTTCTGCGAGCAGCAGTTGACAACTTCCAGTAACTTGTTTGGCACCTTCATTATTGTTGCTTATTACCTGTACCTATGATGCGTATGATTATTTATTTTTTGTCTGTAAATGGGCTAATTTAAAGTTTGTGTATTTGAGTTTATAAAAGAAATTGCATGTCACTCCTATAAATTAAAAACCAGCATCAATTTCTGTAAATAAAATAACTACAGATATAGTACAAAGAAACAAAGAAGGTATTTCAAAAAAGGGTACAGTCTAGTGCTCCTAGGATACACACCTCCCCAGGATGTTATTGTACTGAATGCTGAAGGCAATTGTAGCACAAAGATATTTGAAGCCGGGCTCGGTGGCTCAGCCTGTAATCCCGTGCCTTTGGGAGGCTGAGGTGAGTGGATTGCCTGAGCTCGCGGGTTTGAGACTCGCCTGGGCAACTTGGCGAGACCTCATCTCTACAATAAATCAAAAATTAACTGGGCATGATAGCGCGTACCTGTAGTTCCAGCTACTTGGAAGGCTGAGGAAGGATCGCCGGAGCCCAGCAGGTTGAGGCTGCAGTGGCCGGGAGCGTGCCACTGTACTCCAGTCTGGGTGACAGAGTGAGACTCCAACTCAAAAAAAAAAGAAAAAAAAGATATTTGAATATCTATGCGTGGAAAAGGTACCGTATGGTATTATGGCTGGGTGCATTTGCTCATGCCTTAAACCAGCACTTTGGGAGACTGAGGTGGGAAAATTGCTTGAGCCCAGGAGTTCAAGATCAGCCTGGGCAACATAGCAAGACCTCACCTCTACAAAAAACCATACAAATTAGGTGAAGTGGTGTGCGCCTGTAGTCTGAGCTACTTGGGAGACTGAGGCAGAAGGCTTGAGCACAGGAGATCAAGGTTGTGGTAAGCCATGATTGTGCCACTGCACTACAACCTCAGTGACAGAGTGAGACTTCAACTCAAACAAACAAACAAACACTAACACACACACACACAAAGAAATAACTGCTTGAAGTGATGGATATGCTAATTATTCTCATTTGAGCATTACACATTGTATACATGTATCAAAATGTCACACTATACCTCATAAATATGTACAGTTATTATGTGTTAATTTAAAAAAATAGTATGACCGGGTGCTGTGGCTCAAGCCTGTAATCCCAGCACTTTGGGAGGCCGAGGTGAGAGGATTGCCTGAACTCACAGGTTCGAGAACAGTCTGGGCAACTTGGCGAGACCTCGTCTCTACAATAAATCAAAAAATTAACCAGGTGCGGTAGTGTATCTGTAGTTCAGCTACTTGGAAGGCTGAGGTGGAAGGATTGCCTGAGCCAGCAGGTTGATGCTGGGGTAACTGTGAGCGTACTACTGCACTCCCGCCTAGGTGACAGAGTGAGACTCCAACTAAAAAAAAAAAAAAAATTACATTTTTTAAAGGGGAGAGATTAACAAGTATTAAAGAGTTTTGAAAGTCATACTTGACTCAAGCAGAGACTTCTATTTGATGAACTGAAGAATGGGAAAAAAGAATTGAGAAGGAAACAAGTTTTTCATGGTGTAATTCAGGGTTATTGAAGGCTGTGTTGTTCCTAAACATCTTGTGTACATAAATGGTGTTTCTCATACATTGAAAACTGTTGGCTAGGAGAAAATATGAGGAAATAAACCTGAGTTGAGCCTGCTTCCTGCAGGGACCTTTTGGAAGCAGCCATTGGTGAGCTGGACATCCTGAACCTCAGGCTGGCCTCTGGTCAGGTTTGTTTTGCAGAGGTTGGCCATGGTATTGCAAGCCACTCACCGGGTCAGGTCCAAGGATAAGTAGCAGGGTATTATGGCAGATGCTTTCTAGAGTTGGGAATGTTAAAAGCAACAGCCCTCTGTTGACATTTACCTGATAGGCCTTATGAGCTTGGAGACAGGGC